ATAATGACGCATGATGGTTTAAAGCGAAAGAGTCGAGAATGGTGTGTTGTGGCATATGGAGGGGTCCAGAAATTCTCTATGATAATTCATCTACTGAAACCAGCAAAACCGGTCGGTGACTCCCAGGTATACTTCATGACATGGTCTGATCAGACACACAAGCTATGACGCTGACAGTGGAGACCCGATGGAACATGGAATACTTAACTTATAAAATTCTGAAGGGCACGAGTGAGGCGCTGAACAGGACTCATGGTAGCAATGTCGTTGAAGCAAGGTGCTTTATATAGCTGTTTGCAGAAGGCAATGCATGCGCAGTTGAAGCATACTGATGTATGCTGTGATTGTGCATGCATGTGACCTCACATGTTTTGGTCATTACTGTCAGCTAAAAATAATCACAATGAGCTGCTTACTCTGGATTGTTTTCTGTCGCCCTCTGACCATTCTATGTTGTTCATAATGTCTTTATGTCTGCAGTGAAGGACATAATGCCATTGCGATTGAATACAATGCCCAGCTGTGCTAAGCACTCTGATGATTTTATCATGGTTGTTGCTGTAACATCGATAATGTGCTGTCTTTTTAGCTAGTTCATTCATGTTTTGGTCACACAACTTAATTCTTTATTGATGAAATCGATTCTTCTAGTGTGCAACTACACAAAGACTGATAAATTGTACGATTTAAAAAAATGTTTTGGAATATCATGTTTTGAAATCTCCCAGAGCCCTGCGACCTTGCCAGGAATATCGGGCTAAAAGCCCTGAGGTCTTTCTTGTACCCGTTCTTTGCAGGTCTGTGAGCTCAGAAGCGGCAGCTCTACTGCGCAAGTAGTAGGGTGCAAACAAGATTAGGTCAGCACCATGACCCCGCTGCGACACACTCACAGGACTGTTACGATCTACAATGCGTCTTTCCTTTTTGTTCCGACGTCTTTCCTTTTTGTACGCCGCACTGTTAAGCAATTTTGCTTTCGATACGGCTTTTGTGGGACAGGCTCGCTGGTTCGCATTGGAGCACAGTGTTCCATACCATTGTGACGCAGCGCAGTGGGCGCAAGGTCCTCGGAACGGTCGTGTGCGATGATAACCAGTATCACTGGATCAGCGTTTACCACGCCCGCTTTGTGCCAGGTCTGTCTGTGTTAAAAGCGACACAATGCCGGAGTGGGCCTGTGAACAGGAGGTCTTGCAGAATCGGAAGGGCTTGTCGCCATTGTCAGCATTTATTGAACGCCTAAACGGGGGTAGATAAGCAATGCGTGGCTACTTAAGCCCTTTGACGGTTCTGCAAGATGCCGGCGGAGATGCCTACAAAGCAACCCATTTTGTCCATGTTTTGCAAATGTTCGTTGCGAGCAGCTGTCCGTACTGTTCAGTTTCACCCCTAATGACATACTTTTATAACTATTTACATTCACAAGTTTCCAAGAGCAAGCATGAAAACGGGCATCCACAATGATGAATGGCATACGCCCATGCATGGCGGCAACTGAACCTCAGGCCTGCCTGAGGTGAGGCATGACAAGAAACTAAGATGTTTTTCTGCCTTTCATGTTCTGTCAGTAAAAATATTTGCTTCTTGTATCAGACATTCATGCATCGTGACCACATCAAACCAATCGCGATATGGACTGCTTTGCTTTTTGTCAGAAGTGGTCAAGTGAAGGTCAAGCTCCAGCTCATGGCAAATGCTGAAACGTACAACGTTCTTTTCAATATGATGGGATGCGTATGCCATGACTTGTCATAACGGCAAGACTCATTTTGTCACAATGTTGCATTTTCTAGTGCGGTAAGACCAAGAGAGAAACACAACTGAAAGGTAGCAGCCAGCACACCGAATGAGTGGTCATAAATATATCACTGACGAGGTACACGCGTTATAGTTATAACACCTACTACTAAAAGCGTATAAGCCCCAGGTTCCAGGACTTTGATAAATTCTGGGTCACACCCACCAAACATTCTCTTAGCTACAAACGTGAAGAAAATGCGGCGCCCTTTAACCTTTCCGATGTGTGCATTTTTGGCAAATTTGTCCACATTACTCTGTGGCATTTTTTGAAAGAAATTTTTACTTTGACGTGAAAGTGGTACAGCTATTTTGTGCAGTGTGTAAGACACAGCGTCAGGGCACAACGAGATGAAGCGTTCATTTTACAAGTGACAATATTCTTGTTATTCTGCAGCAGCCTGGGACGTGAGTTTGCTTTTTCAAATAGCAAGTTCTCGTCCTGGATGCTTCAAAATTAGGTAAACGTCTCGCGTGCAAATTGCGTTTTCAAGACACCTCTTAGCTCGCTGTTCCTCTATTCAGGGTGTTCCAAAGGGGGTTTAATGAGCATAAGTTCAAGGGGGACGGGAACAGTTTGCAGCTTTTTGAAAAATGATTGAAAAAAGAAACGACAACAATATTAAATTATGTAGTAAATATGCTCCTCAGTGCATAAGGAAATGCGTTTGCAAATGCATTTCATGATGTCATTTGGAAATGCAAATTAGTTTGATAGTGTCATGAAACGTTTAGGGCTTCGGAGTCGCTGCCAGGTTGGCTGTGTCAGGGTTGCCACGGTAGTGGACGGGCTGACTCACTTGTAGCGCCTCAACTCGCCACAAGGTGGCTTGTTGTTTTGTGTTTATGAAATTATTTGCTATCTTTATTTGCACGCGTTTTGGCCCTTTCTCGTGACGCTCTTGTACAATTGTGAAGTTCGTACAAAGGCCGTCCGTCCCGTTTGCTTAGTTGGTTAGAGCGCCCCCGCCTTCTGATCCACCCCACCCATGGCAGGGTGGGTTTGTGTGTCGCTTTAGGTGCTCGCTATGTGCCCTTAATAGATATGGCCTGTGGCCGATGGCAGCGGCTGCGCTCGAAGTCAGGTGACGTCAGAGGGCGGGACAGACCGTGCTAAGCACTGCGCTACGTTTAACTTTTGCCACCAAGTTTTACCGTTCAACTGGAATTACGCGATGGAATGGTACGGGCAGGGCTCTCATAACAACATTGCTTAGTGTGAGCTCTGATCTCAGAAATCCATTCAATCAAAAGATTCGAACAAACCTTTAACACAACGGTAAAAAAACTGTTCGTGATGTTTCTGTTTTTAGTTGCCTTTGCATTCTCATGATTCGCTATTTTTAAACTAATCGATTCTCCACCCTTATTTTCGTCACATCTAGCTGTGCTGCCCAAATGTCTGTGCGTTGCATAAAAACGCGGTCCGTTTGCATAACTTACATTTAAAGCCTTAAGCGGGTATGAAGTCAACCGCTGTTCGTTGATGGGACAATTCGTGCTAACGTGCTCCAGTCACGAGTAAGTCAATGACCATATATTTATTGAAACTGAAAGCAGTATAGCAACTGGAGATACGGAACTCACTTGAGGTTCCCATGACGCTACAATTCTTTGGGTTATTTCGAAATGGGGGGGGGGGGCGCGAAATGGGTCGCATGCACCTAGCCCCGAAACAAGCGGATATGAAGCCTTGAGAAACGCATAACTGTGAACTGCGACGAACGAATTTGAAAGTGACTGTTTCAGTTCAAAACACCATGAAAATGTGACACAGGCCCTACACAAGGACTGTGCCACTACGCTGGTGTCTTGAAATCATCTGTGGTTGACCTTGTTACGCGTCGTTGATACTGGAACACTACGCTGCTCCGGGGTCAGCTCGCGCGCTGACCTCCAGTGTCGCAGGGGTCGCATGGTCAGCCTCCCCTCCTCCGGCCGTTCGAAACGCGAACGGCGGCGAGAGTGTGACCCTCACTGCGATGAGGAGCCGCGGGGTGACCTCCGTACAGGTCGGGGGTGGAATGGTACAGGCGCCCCAGCGGCGGCTCCCCTGAAGGACAACGTATAGCGTCAGTACCAGTCACCGACGCTTGCAACGAGACCTAGTTTCATTTTAACTTAGGATTGCATGCTGGAATACGCACGCACCGCTAAACAAAATATATCAAGAAACGCACTAAAGAAAATATGTCATGTACTTCGATTATGGGTCCAGACTCATAGCATTCACCACTCGTAGATATATGATTAAGTACACATACATTTTAATAAATGATATATATATATATATAAAATGGAGATTATTCATAAAATATATACCTTATAAGATATTTCATATACATTCATGTACACCTTGCGAGTTAAGTTCTATCGGCCCGTAGCCCCGTTCGTTTATGAAGCACAGTACTACCTGTCAACATTGGCTTCGAATTGATTTTGCCATTGCACTGGTACTGCTCTCAACAGATGTTGTTTGGTGCCGTTGCAAACTGTAAGAGCTCCAGTAGAATCGTCCGGGTTGGGAGGAACTTAGCATACTTCTTTGTTCCCAGAAATTTCTCAAATTACTTTGCCGGGCAATATTCGTATCGAAGTTGCTTGATCAGACACAATTTCACGGCAAGAAAATAGCGAAAAAGCTTTTAATTTCATAGCGATAAACAAACTTCACAACGGACTTGGCCCGATCCCGGCATAATACAGGCCAGCGCACAAAGCTGAAACACCGGGAAGGCAGCATGTTACCTGCTAATTTATCAGTGACGAGCGTGTCCAATACATCTTCTTCGATCTGCACATCAGCCAGGTAATCAAGATCCTGTCGACACAGGTCTTCGAACGCGAAGTCCTTCTCTATTGCGGAAGATTCCACCGCGGCCTCGGAGGCCTCCAAATCATCCTGGACCCAGCCGTCGCGAAACGTAACGTGGTGTTCCACCGTCGTGGACTTCTCGCGGTCACGGGGCGAGCTGGAGGAGCGCTTCGGTGAGGCCACCACGTCCTCCCACTCCTCGTATCCTCCTCGCGCTCGTGCTCGGCTGGCGGTGGCCGCGCCCGGCGCCGCTGGCGGGCCGGCCTCCTGAGGCGCCAGCCATGGTCTGACCCCTGGTGCGAGCCGGGGTCGCGCAGCAGGGCGAGCTCGCGGCGCAGCGCCTCGGCCAGCCGTCGGCGGTGCAGCCGGTCGCCGCGCACCTGCCGGCTCAGCTGGTCCAGATGCCGCTCGTTGGTGCGCGTCTGCCGCTGCAGCTGGCGCACGTCGGAGCCAAGCTCGGTCGCAGCGACAGGGCGGCCAGACGGGTGACAAGCCGGCCGTGCTGCAGGTCCAGGTGGCTGGGAGGCGCAGGCGACGCCGCCGCCGGGGCACTGAGGCCGAGGGACGGCCACCGCGTCGGCAGCAGCCGCGCCGTGTCCAGCTCGTCCGGGCCATAGCCGATGTCGCGTAGAAACAGGATCACCTCGAAGGTGAAGCGGTTGACGCGGAATGGCTCGACGGGCAGCGAGGCGCCGCCAACGCGCAGCGAGCCGTGAAACTGGCCGAACGGCAGCAGAACGCCGCGGGACTCGTACACCGCCTTGAGAGGGCTCCAGATGAGCTCGACGACGGTGAAGGGATGGGAGATGGTAAGCGTCACGGGTAGCTGGTCCGTCCAGGTGCTCCGGTACCAGCGGAACACCACCCGGCTGGTCTGCTCCTCCGCATCCCACACCTGAACCAGCAGACAGCTGGTCATGTGACGCCTTCAGGCTGCGCGCGGAAATCAGTTGAACGGACAGCTCGCTTATTTACCTTTTTAGGACATTACTTAACATACTTTGGCAGTCGTTTGAAGTGGGGAAACGCCATTTCACTCGAACAAAGTAGCGCTCTGCGCTGCGCTCAGTAGCACGAAACGACGTGTAAACAGCCTTGGAGGAAATCTAATAAATTGTTCAGTATACTTGCGCGGAACATTATTCCCGTAAATAAGACAGTAGTAATAACCCTATTCCTCGGATAAAACAGAAAACAGAAACAAAAACAGTAGAATGGAGATAAAGATGGGTTGATATTTGGGCAGCATGCCTTTATCGAAACAACAACAGGAGATTCCCGGTAGATAGACACTTCTGACATGGCAACATGATAAAATCTTAAAATATGATACGCGCTTCTGCGTTTGTTTCGATTAAGGCACGGTGACAAAAAAGGAACCCATCTGTATTTTCGTTCGCCTGGTTTTTCCCGAGGAATAGGGCGTTTCCTACCGCATTATCTATATGATGGAAGTTCTTCGCAACTTTTAAAGTGTGCTTCAGTTTAACCCACCAATTTTACATGGGGTACACACGTATTAGTCACCAATCGATGCACCCAACCAAATACTAAACGATATTAGCCCAAACATATTACGAAAAAAATGCCTTCACCACGACTCAATGCCGTCACCATGACGCAATCGGGCGCCATACAATCATAATATTCCAAATGCTTACCTGTTAAATACATTTCTGCCCTTTTCTTCGACACAGCCACACCCATCCATCAACGAGAACTGCTTAGTGGCAGCCGTGAGGGTCATCCCACCGTGCCCCCGGGGCGTTCCACCCGCCTCACTCACCATTTGTGGGCCGTGGGTCGGGGCGACTGTAGGGCTGACCTGACCCGGCCGCGGGGCCGCGCCGTCTGCCGTCGGAATCGATGGACCGCGTGTCGGTGTCGACGATCGATGGCCGTCGGCAGCGGCGGCCGACCCGGTAACCGACGGCTCCACGGCCGCGCTTAAATAGGTCAGCGGGGCGGCGGTCGCTCGCGCAACTCCGCACTGACCGCCCCCCCCCCCCCCCCGGTCCGGCGCCGGCCTGGAGGGGGACTGGGGCCGAGAGAGGTGGGGGACCTGACGCCGAGTGAAGGGGGGCGGCTCACGCCAAAAGGGAGCGGCCAAAAAGTGGTGGTGGCTCAACCGTGTGGCTGTTGCCAGCACGAAATGGCCACACAACGCAGCCCCAAGTCACTTTCGTTGCGGGTGATACGACCCCCATGTACCATAAAGGTCCAAAATGAAAAACGTATCCAAATGCGTTAGATGCCCAAATATCCATGGGATATCTAATCGCTTTTCACGCACACCAACTCCTTTATATGGGGTGATCAAAAAGTTCCAGGGAAGATACATATATAGCACTTTCAGCACTGTTTTGTCTCTGAATTTATTTCTAGCTTGAGAGCAATGTTCTTCTCACGTTTCTCCTTGATCCTATCGATGCTTCTGGGGAAGAACATCCTTGGCCGGCTCTCCAGCCACTCCTCAGTAGACCATCCATGTTCATCCCTCCTTCCCTGGAGATGTGACTGTTCATCCCTCCTTCCTTGGAGATGCGACTTCGGAGGCCGATAAAGGTGGAAGTTACTTGGGACTTAGTCCGGGGTAGGCCTGGTGCTGCAGATCCTCAAAGCCGCAGCTGCGAATTGTTTGACTGTGACAACACTGACTTTGTGAACAGGCGCGGTGGTCGCGAAGGAGCAGGGCTCATGTTCTGCTGAGTCTATCTTCTTTACTTCAGAATTAATTGGCAAAAAACACACCACGAAATAGTGTTGAAGAAGAGCGTGCGCAACACAGGCATCCGCAGAAATGTGCAATGGAAGGGGCACAAGTTTTAAAAAAAACTGGTCGGGACGCCGCAAACGCACAAAATTCCTTGCTGGCGTGATTTTAAATCATATGTTTTCGATCGTCTTGGACGTGCTTGCCTACCTTGAGTGTTTGTTGTTAACATGTTCATAGGGGGGCGGAGGAAACGTCCCTCTGGGGTCTACCGCGAGTGAACGCCTCTGATTCGTAAATAAGACCGACAGCAAAACACGGGGGGGGGGGTATAGTATCCACAGCTCATGATGTCCGCAGTTCACAACGTCCACAGTTCACAACGTCCACAGTTCATGATATCTACGGTTGATAATGTCCCCAGTTCCTAATACCAACAAAATGGTTCTGCCTACGTTCGCCAGCGTGGGAAGTTCCGTCGTCAGGAGAGAGAGGTGTCGCTAAGCATCGTGACATCATTTCCTCCGATTTGGTGTATAGTTGAGCACCATCGTTGCGAAGCAAATCTTCCGTGGCCTCTTAAAACCCGACTTTGAATAACCCCGATGGAGATAGGCCGACTCTGAATAAGAGACCTAAAACAAAAACCAACTGGAAGTTAGCCGACTCTGCTTATGACAGATGAAAACCAGTCCTATAGGAATAAGCCCGACCTTGCATGAAACCGACAGCCCGTCCACCGATTTAGTGGAGCAGTCACGTGACAGGCGTTACGGGGTGAAACTGACGTGCAAAAAGGGCACGGTAGTGGTCAGTCGGGCCGAAAATGTGTCGGCATGCAACTGTTCAATCATCAAGGGGAGGTCCGAGTCATGATAGCTTAGCCGTGTGTACCGTGTGACTTAGGAAGCTATAGCTAGGGAAATATAGATGTTTAGCTTGCCTGATGCAGCAGATAGTTGGAACAGTATGGAGCCATGAAACATGAAAACAAATATGAAGAAGACATTTTCAGTGATTAAAGTGGTCGGCACTTTTCACGCGGTTCTCTTATGCCTATAGCCATGCTCGATTGGTTGTTCCTGTGCCCTATACCGAGTCTTACTAATGAACATATTTAGACGTGCGATGCCAGCAATGGCTATGTCAGTATAAGAAATGCCAGCAATAGGCATGTTGAAAACTACTTTTGAGAACTTACACTGTACGACCTTTGAGAGTATGCTGCAAGGTCTCCACGATGAGACCCCTTGCTATATGATCTCGTCCGAGTCCAGGTTGTCGCTTTATGGTGTCATAAGTCGGAACGGTCCTCTTGCGGAGATTTCGAGACTCTCCGCTAATTTTACAACGTTCTCGGCATGCCGCCGCGGACACTTTGAGACCATTCACGATTTTTGCAAAGCCCCCGGCGTGCCGCAACCAACGCGAGTTATGCACAAAAATCATGCCCTTGAAGATATGTTTGTGATTGACAGGTGACCGTGTGCTGAAGTCGCAGCGAGTTCGTTTGGCGTGAACGTAAACTAAGTCACATGCAGTTAGTTTTTTAGTCTTGTCGAATCTCTGGTGACGTTTTGAGAATTTTAGGCAGTCATTTTCCGCGGGAAGCTTTTAATGCAACTTTGAACTATCGTGACCAAGCAGTACCCGCCCTTCCTGAAACAAAGTCTGCAAAGTAGGTATATTTCTTTTCATACATTGATGATAAGAGGTGTGCTCTTTTCATGCACTTTGCAGGTGGCACAACGTTTAAGGCATTATAAATAGCGTCGTAGAGAGACCAGAATAATGGGAAAATAGGCACGTTGACGTTTCGCCATCATTCCTTCATCAAAATAAATAGCAGAGGTAAGTTTAGAGTTGCCTGCCGAAGATTCTAATCGATTCTTCGGAGTTTTCCGTTTGTTGAAACAGCGAGCCACAGTTTTATGGGTCACCAACATTCGGGGGATTAAACAAGGGGAAATTGCCAGCCATCACTACAATAATACGTGTACGTGCAAACGAATTCAAGTAGACAGGCATCATGCATCCCGCGCCAGGCATCCCCCATTACATTTACATGGATGTAATTACATGTAAACGATTTTAAGCTAGCACGCGTTGCACGACAAGACACATCACGTTTGCATAATCGACCATGACGAGCCCTGTACGTTAAGATTAGGTTGCCGATGTTATATAAGAAAAAACGACTTATTCACCTGTTTGGATGGTCCTGTGCTCTGTATACATCCCTGAGCTCCAAAACGGGCTTAGTGTCCATACCTCCCTGGATTTCAACCTTGTGTGTTTTTTGCCAAAAAATGGTCACTGATATGAACATTTCCTGTTTTGTTTTTAGTGTCTTGCAGGTGCTCACTATATCTCAAGCGAATAGGATGCATGAACTCCACGACATAAACTATGTCCGTCCCATACTTTTCATACAATTTACGCTTAATCTCAAAATCACTTTTTTGCATGCAAACTCCTGAAATTCGGAGTTGCATAAATGGAATTTATTGCCACTCGGGGCACTAAGGCTTCGATATAAAGTATTTCACCAGGAACGTTTTTAGCTTATTATCGTTTATCCAATCTATGCGTATGCACAGTTTTGATTTCCCAAAATGATATGTTTGATTTTCCAAAGCAGGTTCTCATCTACGTAAGGTACCGTTAACAATCCGTCGTCCGATAGGACGCATTTCCGCCATCTACCACACATAGAAGTCGCGGAGAATATCCATTACTCAAAAGCGAAGCGCATATTTTGCCGCCTGCTGAGGCTCGACATTTCAAAACTGTTGCTCGCTGTTGAAAAAAAACGACAAAAAACAACAACTGAAAAATAGAGTAAGATCATCGGCATGCAATTTTGAATTTACTTCTGCTATACGTTTCGACAAAGGCATGTTACCGGAATATGAACACATCTATACCTCCATTCTTCTGTCTTTTACGAGGAATGATGCTATTACTGGTGTCTTATGCATGTACATAACGTTCCTGGCAAATGCATTTACAACTTACGTAACGTTGATAACAAAGTCTGTGTAAGCTTAAATACAACGCTGTGAAGCGGCGTTAATGCGTAATGAAAACCGCGTTAATTGGGCTTTGGTTGCCACATTTTGTCGTACTGGAGCCTCCACGAGCGCCATGCATTTCCGCCAACGTGTACCGCTAGCGCCCGTCGGCTTCGGGAGGTGGAGGTGTTGGAGGCATTTAACGGGAAGAGGTCATTTCCCGTGCTTAAGCTATGATGTGCACGGCTATTAATGTATTGCAAATTTGAGAGACTAGACTGGCTGGCTAATGGCCAGGACGTCGCTCTAAAATCGTGTGTGTAGGGGGGGGGGAGGGGAAGGGGCATCTTGTATGATCGACACAGTCTGCAAGACGTGGCAGACCGGTCCAGGGGATAACAGGAGCGGCTCCGACTATGACCCAGGTGAAGGGACAGCTTGCTTGGCCAGAAATGGGGCCAATACCCGTCCCCTCGGGACCGCACGAGGTTTTGGCGCCTCGAGGGAGCGCCAAAGTGATCGGGCGCAAAAACATTCATTTCGGGGCACCATAACATCTGTTTTTCTTTTGTTCACCGTGATGCCCCATGGTTACCCGTGACTCTGGCTGTACCTGTTACCGTGACTCTGGCGTACCTGTTGTACCTGTACCGTGACTCTGGCTGTACCTGTTACCGTGACTCTGGCTGTACCTGTTACCGTGACTCTGGCTGTACCTGTTACCGTGACTCTGGCTGTACCTGTTACCGTGACTCTGGCTGTACCTGTTACCGTGACTCTGGCTGTACCTGTTACCGTGACTCTGGCTGTACCTGTTACCGTGACTCTGGCTGTACCTGTTACCGTGACTCTGGCTGTACCTGTTACCGTGACTCTGGCTGTACCTGTTACCGTGACTCTGGCTGTACCTGTTACCGTGACTCTGGCTGTACCTGTTACCGTGACTCTGGCTGTACCTGTTACCGTGACTCTGGCTGTACCTGCCTTACCGTGACTCTGGCTGTACCGCTGGACCCACAGTGCCCTGATTCCTCGCATTTGCTGGGAGGCAGGGGTGTCGTTTTCAGGGGAAGGGGGACCTGAGTGCCCAATACCGACTATGAGCTCCTCCCCCA